ATGTAAACCCCGTGAAGGCAGGGACTGTCTTTCAATTTCCTTTTATTTCTATGCCCGGTATTTAGCACAGTGACTGGAACTATTGCCTGCCTGTTTATCTACCATCATCCATAGTAGTGTTTTACAAATGGGTATGCCTTATAAACTGGCGTTGGCTTTGGCTATTATGTCTCTTTACTTAGCTAGGAGATCATGTGTTTGTAAACTAAGGCAGTTTCTAGGTTCCTTTGACCTTCACATTCTGGTGACTGAAACTGGTTAAACTTTTGCAGGATATGGTAATAATCAATTTGCCTTTTGCAAATTCCCATTTTTCAGCATTATTATTACTTTTGAGTAAGTCAGGTTGAACCTGCTGTAATCATTTACAATGTCTTCTCATCTTTATCTGTTCTTCTAGCTTGAAGCTCATTTTGACCATTGCTCTAACCAGTTGGTAGTCTGACCAGAAAGATGGCTGATTCTGATGTCACACCTATAACTGTAACTAGTCATTTCCTTTCTGTTAAGATGTTGTTGTTGTTGTTGAGTTGTTTCAGTCGTGTCCAAACCTTCATGACCCCATTTAATGTTTTTCTTGGCAAAGATACTAGAGTGGTTTGCCATTTCCTTCTCCAGCTTATTTTACAGATGAGGAACTAAAGCAAACAGGATTAAGTGGCTTGCCCAGGGTCACACAGCTAGCAAGTATCTGAGGCCAGATTTGAACTCAGTAGAAAGAATCTTCCTGACACCAGGCCTGGCATTCTATCCACTATGCCACCTTCTGTTAAGTTATAGTTAGTTTCATTTTTGGTAATGTGTTCCAGTGTTCATAACCATGTCCAGTGTCTTCTTACTTTCTTGTGGAAGAAAAATGAATCACAAAATCACAGAGTTTCTGAATTTGAAGGGACATCAATGGCATTTGGCCCAACTCAAAACTAAAAAGAATCCCTACTATAATGTACCTGAGAAGTAGTCATCCAGCTTCTGCCTGAAGGCCTTACATGAGGAGAAAATCATCACCTCCCAAAGACAGCCAGTCTCCCTTTTGGATGTCAGGAAATTTTCATCAACTTTATAGTCGTAATATTTCTGAGTAGTCTACATTCCTTTGGCCTCTTGTTTCTCAAAATTGATCCACATTTTCTGACATAATTCTCAATCAGTCAGCTAGCATTTATTAGGTACCTACTTGTTCCAGGCAAGTCCCTGAACAGCGTGGTCAATATTGAGTTGGTTTAAAGGGTCTTGTCAAGTATTTGGTAGCATTGTCCTGGATCTTCATTTTCATCAACATCTGTTAACCTATAAACCACAGTTCTCTTCATGGTGGTCTTTTTGATGATGCTCATCATGAGTGCCACAAGAGAAGATGACCAAATGCCCTCTAAATTACTTCCCTTGATGCTTTTGGGTCCAAGATTAAATCAATTCTGTCAACTCCTTTGTTTGACTTTCCAGGGACAATCTACAAGCCATGATACTATTTAACAACCACTTCCGTTTGCCTTCTGGTTTCTTTTGTTGAGAGGATGTCAGCATTAATGGGGTTCACTGGTTATAGTGGGAGGTCAATTCTTTGGTCATTGGACAAATATCTTATGCTTGGAGTACTTGCGATTGAAGTTTATGGGTGAGCTAACCACTGTGTAATTCTTAGAATCCTCTGCTGCCTCTCCTACCACCCCACGATCAATACTATAGAAGTAGAAAGGGACTTCACAGGATTGGGAGCCATTTAAAATTTTCTTTGTTTTATGGGTAAACATGGACAAGTAATTCATCAAATAATGATCAACTAGTTAAAGTGCTGGGCCTGGAGCCAGGAAGAGCTGAGTTCAAACCCAACATCTCAACATTTACTAGCTCTGTGACTCTGGGCAAGTCACTTAACCTCTGGCTGCCTTCATTTCCTCCTCTGTAAAATGGGAATGATAATAGTACCTACCTCTTGGAGTTGCTGTGAAGATCAAATGAAATAATATTTGTGAAGCACTTAGCACAGTGCCTGGTACATAGTAAGTGCTTAATAAATGCTTGTTTCCTTTCTTCCTTCCTAGTGGTCAGCCTACTTAGTGATCATCCTCTCCATTTTTAATAGATTAAGTCTGTCACCAGGACTATATATTCAAAACCTTTCTATCATGCTAGAACCTCTCAGAGGTTATACTCTTCTTTTGACCTCCTTCTTTCGGCCCCACTTTTGATCCATGGGTCTCCTTCCCAGAACAATGAAACATAAAATAGGACTTTGTGAAGAAACTCCATCCCCACTATTAGAAAAACAGTTCAGAATATACACCCTCTGAATGGGTAAAGTCATCTTACTATGCAGGGGACATCTCATTCCCATACCACCTCAATGAAGGACTTTGAAGTTCCTTGGTAGGGAGTCATTTTGTATGTAAGGACTGGAGAATCTGAGTAATCTATCCAAGGTCATATAACACATGTGATATGTTATTGTTTTCTTCAGAGGGTACTCCGGGAAGGGACCTGTGTCCTCTGATCTGGAGTGATTATATGCTGACATAACCATGGGAATAGTGCCTTCCCAGCTGCTCCGGGGCAGACATATCAGTGCAAGTTTCCCAGAAAGAGTGTTATCAGAGGTCAGAAGAGCAGCGTTGTAGATTAAACTTCTTTACAACTAATTGTCCCTCTGTTCCCCACATCTGGCATAACTCAGTCCTCTGGCCCATTTGGTTCTTTTCTTCCTGCCTATGTGTGCCCTGTTCGTAAGAGCGGTTCCATCATCTTAAGGTCTAATATGCCATGAGTTTTACCAATTTGTTAAGTGTATTCATCAGTGTGCCTGGGAGAAGGAAGTCTATAGGGCCAAGCTCCTAGAGGCTAAAAAGGACCCTACTTTTCTGAGGAAACTAACTCTGTGTCATGACCTCCAGTGGCAGGAAGTTTGGGTATTAGCAGTTTCAGCAGGAGTTTGGACAGCAGTTTTCTCAGCCAAGACATTTGATCTGCTGTCTGACTGTTTCAGTGTCTTCAGTGACCCTGCAGCACTGTACCCAGAGAGTGGTCTGTGCCACTCATTTGGCCTATCATATATGGTATTGTTATTTATCTTTTTTTATGAACCGGGCAGCAGTTCTTTGAAAAATACCAGAGGCTTTTAGTGGACTCAATATGAGTCAACAGAATGACATGTGGCCAAACATGAGCTAATATGATCTTAGTAGATGCATAGAGCCCTGAATGAGGGGGATAATAGTCCCACCCTACTGCCACAGTCAACCACACCTTAAATATGACGTCCAGTTCTTATCATTAAAGTATAGGAGGATATTGAGGAGCTGTAGAAGGGACACAGGGATGGCGAGAGGACTAGAAATGTAAGCTGGGGGCAGGAGCTGGGTCAGTTTTTGTATTTGCATCTCCAGAGCTGAACAGCCTCAAAGTAAGTGCTTAATTGTAGAAACTCCATGAGGATCCATTAAAGGAACTAGGAAACTTTTACCCTGTAGAATCAACGATTTAGAGACTACATGATGTTTGAAGGATTTGTCACAAGGAAGAGGGAGTAGATTTACTCCTTTTAGCCCCAGAGGGCAGAATATAGGAACAATGAGTAAGAGTTGTAGGGAGTTAAATTTAAGATCTTCCTAAGGAAAAACTTTTAAACAATTAGAATGACCCATAAATTCAATGGTCTGCCTGTCAAGGTAGTGAGTTTACTCCCTTTTGCTGGAGGTGTTTAAGCAGAGACCAGATGACTGCTTGCCAGGAACATACAGACATTCATGCTTTGGGTAGGAATTAGGCCAGATGACCTCTGTGGCCCCTTTCAACTCCAAGATTCCATGAAATCATATATAGAACTAAAGAATCATAAAATGTTAGAGCTGGGGTTGGACCTTAGAGATAGATTATCCTATTTTACACTTGGAGAAACCAAGACCCTGAGATTGTGGCTTCACACAAGTAGTTGTTAGCAAACCTTAGAATCTAAGTGGTCCTTTGATTTCCGTCCCAATGCTGTTTTCACTCCATATCCTCTCTATCCAATTTTATTGGCATGGTACCATGTCTTATGCTTCTTTGGGTTCCTTGTGCCTGGTGCAGTGCTCCATACCCTGTCATTATTTGTTATCAACAATGATATTGATGAGAACAGTGACCAGACAGAAAGGCCCATCTCTGAAAGCTGAGAATCAATGGTAGCCTCAGGCCCCACAGTTTAGGAGGCTCTGACTTGTAGGATGTCACTCTTTATTCACTGGGGATGGGATATTGAGAGTCTCTATCCTTCTCCTAGCAGTCTTACGTGGAAGTGAGATGTGAGCCAGTGCGCTTCCCTCTCTAATGTGAGACAGGCAGACTATAGTATGAAAAGTCAGCCAACCTGCCTTACTGATGTCAATAATTCAGGGGTCAGTACTTGAAGGGTTCATGGGGAAGAAGTAGAATGGTTTGTGACATTTCTCCACTGGAAGAAAAATGAAGCAGTAAGATTTATTTTCTCCTACAGTCGTTGGAAACAGGTCTATTGGAAAGAAGCAGGATGATTCATAACTCACATCATTGGGACAAAAGATGTAGCGAGACAGTTTTGCCCCCAAGAACTTTTCTTTTGGGCAAGGCCACTGAAGGGTAGTGGAATGGTTTTAGGCCCCCTCGCTGAGAAGGAGGGATCTGGTGTCTCACTTCCTCCCTATTCAAGTACAAGCCCGTCCTCTCCGTGTCCGTTTAGGCCAATGGGGTTTAACTTAGATTGTCAGCCTCCACAGGCTAGAGACTATGCCATTATGAGAATCAGCCAAAAGACCACCATAAAGATAACTGTGGTTTATGTGCCAACATCTGTTGAAGAAGCTGAAGGGCCAGAGAAATTCTATCAAACATATGACAAGATCTTTCATCCAAGTCAACATGGTTTGAGTCACTCACTCCGTAGAGTCCAAAACATCAATTTACTAAAGGGTTCGTGCTGCTGGTGACAATGATGGACTGACTAAGGGGAATAACTGGAGTTTAATTTCTTTTCTTCTTCTTTACAGAACTGTAACCTTGAGCCCCAACTTTGTTGAACATGAATGGAACAGCCAACCTGAATTCAGCCAGCCGCCCCCACTATGCCTCCTCTATCCCTGTGCCCCGAGCCACTTCCCAGACCAAGATCCATGCCCTCGCAGCATCACCTCAATTGCGCCCACGCCAACACAGCCTAGTGCCCAGCCCCCAGAGGGCAGCATCCCCAAGACTGGGGAAAGCAGTAGGCAGCCCCAGCAATTCCTCACCCAAGACTCCCAGAGGAAGAGGCTCTGCTAAGCCTTCAGGGGGACTGAGAGAGTCCTTCCCAGGACATGAGAGGCCTGAGGCAGCAGAGGGCTATGAAGGACACTCAAGTCAGAGTCTGAGTTCTCCATGGAGCAGTCCCAAGGTAACTCCCAAAGCACTTTCCAGTTCCAGGGCTGGACCTAGGAGGACTGAGGAGGCCCAAGTCATTGGGGGCAAGAAGAAGACACGGGAAGGAATCAGGGCTTCCCAAGCCCAGAGTAGGAGTCCATCCCGGATCAGCCCACACAGAGACTCTCAGACACCAGGGGCTTCTGAGGGCAGGAAACCTTTAAGTTGCCTGGGGAAAGACCAAGAAGTGAACTTTAAAGGTTCTGGCATCTCCAAACCCCTTGGGCCTGAGGATGAATCTCAGAATGAGATACCTTCAGGGACTTCCTCGTCTGTCATCAGTCCAGTGCATACCAAAGGCTCTTCCTCTAGCCTGGGGACCATCAGCTTCTCCTCAGCCTCCCAACAGAATCATCCCGTCACCGCCACAGTGGCTCCCTTCCACTACAGGTGAGTGAAGAGAGATAAAAGGGAAGAGGTTGATGATGGGGGCCCAACCCAGACAATAAAGCTCTGGGTTGTATTGATACAGGGCCAGTATCATATAGATTAGGGACCAAGGGTTTCAAGGATGCAGAAAAATGAAGCAGGATGTAGGACACATAAGGATGTGGGGTTTGAAAAGTAGGAAGTCACTGCCCTGATCAACTATTGGAATTACCCTGACTAAAGATCCCAAGGAGGACATATGGAGATGCCTAAAATACTTTTCCCCCTGTAATCAGGGGTGGGTTTAGTCCAGGGAGCTGATGAGACAGAGTAAAAGTGTGTTGAGCAAGGGTAGAGAGTAAGTCCTATCTCAACTATCAGATTCGTGTCATCACCCTCACTACCTCTTTAGGCACCAGGCCTACAATTCAGGTGGGCTGCCACTCCACAAAGGCTGCCTTGAATTGTGACTGAAGGAGGAAAATCGCTAGGTTTCCATGCTTTCCCTAGGCAAACTTAGAACACAAAGTATTAGCCCAAAATCCAACCAATTGTGCCTTTTGTAAAGAATATAACAGCATAAATATTAGCTAATCTTTCATTCTTACCTTATTAGTGTGAGTATGGGTAATACTCTTCTCTCAAACCTGGTTTGTATAAAAAAACCTCAGTGTAGACTATAATCAGTGTTATTTTTCAGTGTCATACCTATATATATATGTATATACCTTTATATGTACATATGTACATGTATATGTGTGTACACATATACACAGTGTCCCAAAAGTCTTGGTACAGTATATTTATTTAAAGATTTCAAAGAAATTTCATGTTAGGAGTGTGACCTGTGTTTGAGAGGGCCCTATTCAGACCAACATAGTAATTATTATTAAGTGATACACAATTTAGAGCAACATTTAAAGAAATATAAATAACTAGGTACAAAGTAAGTCTCTAACTAAAGTTCAGCGGTTATCAATCACCGCTTAATCTAGTCAATCAGTCAGCATCTATTAAGTGCTTCCTATGTGCCAAGTACTATGCTAAGCTGGAGATACAAAGAAAGACAAAAAATGCTGTTCTGTGCCCTCAAGGATCTCATATATTAATTGAGGAGACAAAATGTAAGTAACTTTAAATATATAAATAAACAAATGAGTGAATGAATGACTATATACACATATTATATATAGAGATACATATGTATATGCTTGTTTGTGTATGTATGTGTGTATACATATATACAGAGTAGACGGAAAGTTATCTTGGAGGGGAAGACTGAAAAGGGATTTGACCTGAGTCTTAAAAGAAGCCAGGGTAACCAAGACATAAAGTTGAGGAGAGAGAGCATTCTAGACATAGAGACATGGTAATATAAAAACATGGAGTTAGGTGATGGAGTGTGTGTGTGTGTGTGTGTGTGTGTGTGTGTGTGTGTGTGCAGAAGTAAGTAGGCTAGGATAGTTGGACTATAGAATTCATGGAGGAGAGTGGAGTATAGAGTACAGAGTATATATTAGAGTATAAGAGAATTGGAGAGGTTGGGGACCAGGTTATGAAGGACTTAAATACCAAACTGAGGAATTTATATTTCATCCTGGAGCCACTGACATTTACTGGTTTGGGGAGAGAAGAACATGGGCAGACCTTCACTTTAGGGAAAACCATTTTAACACGGAGGTGGAAGATGGGTTGGAATGAGGATAGACTTGAGACAGGGAGACCAAGTAGAAGGCCATTGCAATAGCTTGATAGCTAGGACCTGTCCTAGGATGGTGGCTGCTGTATGGATGGAGAGAAGGAGATGTGTACGAAAGATGCTGTGAAGGTGGAAACAAGATTTTTCCAGTGCTTAGCACAATGGCTAGCCCATAATCACCACTTAACAAGTGTTTACTGACTGAGATTGGATATATGGGGTGAGTGTGAATAGTAAATCAATGAAGACACCAAGGATGTGAGTGGGATTTCTGGCCTAATGAGAGACTTTAGGCAAATTGCTTAACCTTTCCAGGCCTGTTTCCTCATCTGTAAAATGAGGATGTTAGACTAGAACAGTGGTATCAAACTCAAAGAGAAACAAGGGCCACTAAACCATACATAAAAATCCCGGAAGGTCACATATTGACTAAGAAAACCACAGATTAACATTACCTATGTTCTATTGTATTTTTATTTTTAATGTTAAATATCTCTCAATTACCTTTCACTCTGTTTTGGCCTGCCCTTGGGAGTATTGCAGCCTCCTAGCCACATGTTTGATACCTCTGGACTAGGTGCTAAGTCCCCTTCCAGCTATAACTCTGATCCTATAGTCCTAAAATATTTAAATGTATGTACAGAGCATTGCTTCTCTATCATGGACCTTTGCGATTCAGGAAAAAGTTTCTCTGGCATACCTAACCCTTGTCTTCGGCCAATATCTATGCATTTTGTAGCAAGCTTTTGTGTTACTTCGTTGCTTTGCAATAACTTATTTCAGATTCCACACTAGTCACACGTCCCTTAGTCTTCCTGCAGTTTTAGAACCTGGTTTATACTGAAACATCTTACACGGTCCAGATCCTTTCCTCTTCTACATTTTAAAGCAGAGCAGAACATTATTCATTCGTGCATTCATTTACCCATTCAACAAATATTCATTTAGTGCTTTCTGTACAAACAAGGCTTTTTTAGACTATGGCAGGGTATGTCAGGGCCTGTGACTGAGTAGGGTCCATGGTACTGGCTGAATCTTCTCCAGTTTAGGAGGATTTGCAGCCAAGAAATTCCTGTGAGGGTGCAGGTCAGAGTATGGGTCAAGCTTTCCAATGTGGCATAGAGCCCATAGATGCTTTGGAAGATAATGAGGGTAGAGAGGGAAGCCATAGGAATTCAGGGGAAGCTAGGGAGTGGTGTTGATCGCACTTAAAAAAACTCTTTCTCTCTCTCTCTCTCTCTCTCTCTCTCTCTCTCTCTCTCTCTCTCGCACACACACACACACACACACACACACACACACACACACACACACACA